CATTCAGAATACTTGTAAAAAGTAATCAAAATACTTTCAAAAAAAAGTATTCCGAAACTGTATTCAGAATGCTACCCAAGTCTGTGACTATATGTAAGTTCAAACCTATGTACCTACGTACTACCTACTACAGAATAGTAGATATTACATACTTATCGGCTATCGAGTATTATATTAAAAAATAACAGCCTTTTTTTTGTTACATACCTACCAGGTATGTAAGAACATCGCGAGTCCTACAGTGTGTGGTACCTTTATATGGTAAATTATAACGAAACCCAGGGCATATTTAGGCAGGGTCCCCCCCAATGTATCTCCAAGTTGGGGGGAAACAGCAATAATTTAATTTCTGGGTTAAAGGGGAGCTCTGTCTCCTGTCTCTTATGGCCCTAGTCCTGTCTCTTATGGCCACCAAGTTCCTTACAACGCCACTGAACAAATCAACTCGATAAAAAGTAGTGTTCAAAATTTGAATTTATATAGCTATATGTAGATTTCAATAAATTAAAAAATTAAAATTAATATAAGTACAAATTTTCTAAAAATATGAGTTTTAAACTTTTGCTCACGTCCTCACTCCATCTACCTATAACTTATAAGAAACGGTTCGCGTGTCAAAATATAATACACGAAAAATAAATATAAGAAGGTACCTATACTAAAATATATCTATATAGGTACCAATTTAATGAACGGCCCTTCTTTTAAAAAGTTAGGGATGTACCAACTACCTACAGGTATAATTGTTTAATGTTCAATGTAGGTTAGGACTCTTAGGTATGGTTACAAATGAAATTGTGAAACATATTTATATAATTTTACAACTTAATTTTTTTATCAAGTATCACTATCACCAATTTTTGTATTAAATAAGCATCTGATCACACTATTACCTATAAGTTAGAAACCAGAAATATTATGGTTAGCTATAATAAGCTATAAAAAAAGATATAATTTAGTTTTTTCATCGTATTTCAAAATATGATAAATTTTAAATAATAATAAACTGTAAAAAATTGTATTTATATTCATAACGATAATAATGTACTGGGACGTAAATACAAATTACCTTTTTTGAAATGTAAAATTCTCCATGATTTTTAACCATGCCAGGGTCAAGTGGGGTGAGTGAAAATAAGGCAATTTGAAGCGATATTAATTTCTCATCGATGGGTGGTGGTGATAATATATTACATCCAACCTAAAAAAATAGGTAATAAAATTCTCATTTGCCCCTTAGCCACATGTAATTTTTATTTATTTATTTATTTTTAATGTGTAATATGGGGCATATGGAAATATATGTGTACCGACTTCATACATTCAACTATTCAAGTAAAATAGGTATATAAAATCAATGCTAATGACAAATATTGTCAAATGGCCATTCCTACAGATAACATATCTAACAAATTTGTTTGTTTTCATTTACCCCTAAAAATCATATTTTGGAGGAGCAAATGTTAATGTTAATTTTATTTAAAAATAGTAAGTACCTACATTAAACTTTTAATTACGACATTGTCATTACTGGAATAGTGTCCTAATTATATCATAATGCAGAAATAGCCAACAATTTTTGACAATTAGCTGATTATAATTGTATAAAATATGTTAGTTAAAAAATATTTTTCCTTGAGTACTTGACCCTAGTTATTACCTACTTTGTATAATGTAAACTGCGCCATAAGCTGTGTCTCATTTCTTATCGTCAGTCAAAAATGTCAGGCCTTGCGCTATATGCAAATTTTTAAACTGCACTAATACCCAAATAAATTAAGTTCAGATGCGAAAAAAACCCTGCACCAGCATTGTCTTTCAATATCAGTCATATTTTAGTTCTCCGATCAGTTAGCGCAGTCCATTTGTAATATGTCTGTCTTACAGCTAAGGTCATTCTACTATAAATAAGGTCAACATTCACGGTTTTACGAGGAAGTATTTTGAAAATCTAATTATTGTTGTCCCGCTCCCCTTAGATATACTTCATAAGAATAACCATCGCTATCACTGTTTTTGCCATGGTTGTGTATCAATTATAAATAATAATCAACAACATTAAAAAGGTGCTCTGCTGTACAGTAGGTTACAAGTGGGTCACTGTACAATGGATGGTATTAAATTTGAATTCAATAATATAATATCATTGTATGAGAAAAACGATTCTGAGTGGAGACAGTATGTCAGTCTAGGTATAATACATAATATTATATACTTATCTATGGTATTAAAAAAAAATTGACTTTTAATAGGTACTAATAATAAATTCCAAATTAATCATATAACAATATAAATTTGGTACTTATAACGAGTTATACATCAACAACAAACCCTGATACTATCATAGATATATAATTATATAACTATAATACTATATAATATATATAGTTAAATTTTCAATCCTTAGATATAAAAGTTGAACATTTTATAAATTTTTAATTAAAAAATAATTATTCAATTTTAAATTTGATAAATTTTGTCAAAATGCGATCTTTAAATGCTTCTAAAAAAAATTATGCATATGTATTTTTAATATTTTCAACTGATATTGTAACAATATATCTGCAGGAGCCTTGTAATAATTTTTTTTAGCTTCATAATCTATTAATAAATCTTGGATTTTTTTTTTTTTTTTTTTGATAAATATAGTTTGTGTTCTTACTAACTTTTATCATTAATTATAGCGATAACATTTTTATACAGGTATTTCATGTAATATTTATAATATAGCTGTGTAAGTAAAATAAAACCGATATAAAGCGAAATTATTTTTGCCCTCCTAACATATTATCTCGGTCGAAGATGCTGATTCCCGAACTGGTTCGGTAAGCACAGTGTTGTGGTCAATACCTTTTTTGTGGTATACTTGCGGTTATAGGACCTATGATAATATTCAACAATTAATTTGAATATTAAAAATAATTTAATAATCAATATAATGATTGATACAATATAATACAAATAATATTTATAAAACAATACAACAGTTAAATAAATAAAATAAATACAGTACAATATTATATAATATACAAAATAATACAAATTACTTTTTATAACATTTTTTATCATGTATGCATTATGTACATTTACGATGTCGTCAAATGTCAAAAGTTGTACAATATTATAATTTATTTGTATACAATATACTATACCCGTACACAATTATATAGTTCAAAGTTGTATACAGTAGGTATTATTTTTTATAATGTGATGATGTCAAACTAATGAAATGTAAACGATTAATTTTTTTAGCTTCATAATCTACTAATAAATATTGGATTTTTTTTTTTTTGATAAATATATTTTGTGTTCTTACTAACTTTTATCATTAATTATAGCGATAAAATTTTTATACAATATTTATAATATAGCCGTGTAAGTAAAATAAAACCGATATAAAGCAAAATTATTTTTGCCCTCCTAACATATTATTATCACTGTCGGAGATCCTGATTCCCGAACTGATGCGGTGAGCGCAGTTGTGGTCAATACATTTTTGGTGGTACAACAATTAATTTAAATATTAAAAATCGATAACATAATGATTAATACGATACGATATAAATAATGTTTATAGAATAATAATACAATAGTTGCATAAATAAAATAAATACAATACAATATTATATGCAAATTACCAACCACCTGTAGGGAATCCAAAGAACAGCGGGATTGTCCCAAAGCGTGGCCCCCACTGCAGTATATAATAGTCATGCCTCTACACAACACGGGTAACAAAGATTCTAAAATAATGGCATCTAAAATTGCACATAAATGAATTTGCACAAACTACGTGGCGTACAAAAGAAACCGCTTCCTATTTAAGTTGATGGGTTTAACGGCACAAGACGATGTCTATGGTGGAAAGGGATTACTGTGTGTATCCGTGCCGTGTAAATCGTATTGTGATTGGTTGTCGAGTATACCATAGTCCGCCACATGTTTTGACAGTACCGAGTGGATGCAGCTGGACAAACAGGCTTAAGTTCAGGCTGGTACACAATACAGGATGGTTTTGGGTGGACGAACGGAATCGTTCTAGAATTTTTGCAGATATACAAATCCACAGCTTCGATTGAAGATTGATAAAAAACGGCACACAGCTGCTATGATGCAGAACTGACTAATCTAACCATTTCAAACAATATTATACTTTGAAATCATTGATGTAAAAACAAATACGACAATAATGTAAAGTATAGCAAATATAATGCTGTCAATTACCTCGACTCAACCTACGATCGGAAAAAAATTCTAAGTTTGTATTTTTAATAGAAGATGATATATGTATATTCGACTTATTTGTGGAAAATATATTATCATAAATATAATATAACATTAACCAACGAGCAAGCAACTTTCAGATCTCGATAGATGATTTTAGTAGCTTTATAAAAGTCTGTAAATATTTGTTTTTAAATCAAATGTGATTGTATAGTTGTCGGTAATTTATAAGTTTTTTTTACACGCATTTTTTGATGCTTAATGGTGGATGGCTTAGAATACTTAAATGTAACTTCAGTCATAGGTTGTTTATTAGAATTTTAAAATTTTAGTTTAAACATTTTTGAATCAGACATTGATTTTGCTCTAAATTTCTTAATTGGTAAGTTAATTTAACAATTATCTGGAGTCGGAGCTAAAAAACAAGTAATAACTAGTAAGTAACAACACATTAACAATACCAATTTATATACGGACTACAGAGTGTTTAAAATTTTATGTGAGCCGATTTCACCAGTACCTAAATATTAAAATTAAGAAAAAATGACCTATGCAAAACTGGTTTTGAAATTTGAATTTTTATTATCTAGACAAATTAGATATTAAAAATATTTTTTTATTAATTAAAAATCAGAGGTTATTATGGGTAACTTTTAAAATTAAAATGGGAATTTTGGCCACTTTTCGTTTACCCAACTATAGTAATTATTACAATTGTATACGTATGAGCTTCTGTCAGTTCTGTCAAGCGTCGTACACTTTTCACTTACATAATATCATTGTACGAAAATTGTTAGATTAGTCAGTTCATCATAGAAGCTCTGTGCTGTTATTTTCCAATTTTCTACTGAAGCTGTGGAGTTGTACATCTGCATAAATTCTAGTACTATTCCGTTCGTCCACCCAAAGCCATCCTGTATTGGGCACTCGCTTGTACTTAAGCCCATTTTTCCAGCTGCGTCCACTCGGTACTGTCAAAACATGTGGCGGACTATGGTATACACGACAACCAATGACAATACGATTTATTTAAATAAGTTTTCAGTTGTAGACTGAGTTTTAGTGACAAGTATATTAAAAAAAATTATAGTCTACAACTCACACGAACCCCGCCTATATATCAGCTAAACCATTTCCAAACCATTTTCAATTACCGTCCTGGAGACCGCAATCGATAGGTTTGTACACATATTTTGTTTAGCTACTTCAAGTATTTGTTTTAAACAATAGTATGACGGTTATCGACATAATAACACATGACATTATTGTCGTGAACGATAAATATACATTTATATTCAAAAAGCGCTCAATAAAATGTATATTGATAGTCAACAATTTACGTTTTACATACTGCACAGTATACGCAGTGTACACACAGTAACCCCTCTCCACCATACGAATTGTGTTATTCAGTTCTATCAACTCAGACTTACTTTTTCAAACATGAAGCAGTTTCTTTTGTAAGCCACGTAGTTGGTGCAAATCCATTTATTTGCAATTTTCGATGCCAATATTTTAGAATCTTTGTCATCCGTGTTGTGTAACGCCATGACTGTTATATACTGCAGTGGGGGCCACGCGTTGTGACAATCCTACTGTTCTTTAGATTCCCTACAGGTGGTTGGTAATTTGGTATACCCCCTTAGTATTTTTTCATTATTTAAATAATTTAGAACCCCCGATACAAAGTAATCTTTTTTGTTTTTTTCAAAACAAACTGTCCATACCGGAGTTAATATTATGTTAGTGGTGTAAAAATAATTTCGCTTTATATTATTTAACATATAAAAGTCTAGCCAAGAGCCGACGTCCTACGTAACTGCGAGTAGGTACTTCCGTAACTGCATCTTTCCATTGTTCTGCATTATTTTCATAATCCTCTGCCTTGACGATGATATTAATATCCAGGTAGAAATCACTCAATTTCTTTGCACTCCAATGCACTAATGCGTTTAGATCCGCCTGGACGATTGACCTAGTTTTTGAACCATCATACAATCTGCAATCATACAATGACATAATAGTTATTGGAGGTGTGCAACGTTTTTGACCACATCATAACCTAAGACAATACCTATTATAAGATAAAGTTAAACTTTATCTCACTCCCCTTATCCGTGTTACTGTATAATATATATTTACATATTTAATACATCGTTCGTTTACAATTGAGTTCAAATATTAAATGTTTTAATGTGCAAATTAGATTAAAAAGTAAAAAGGTGGACAAGTGGGTGTTGCTATGCTGTACAGTAGGTTACAAGTGGGTCACTGTAATGGATGGTGTTAAATTTTAATTCAATAATAGAACATCATTGTATAAGAAAAACTATTCTGAGCGAAGACGGTCAGTCAGGCTGACTAGACAGGCTATCCAGCACTGCAGTCAGCCTATGATATTACTGAGTATATTTGATGATATTATTGTAAATCATGTAATTTATGTATAGGTAACCTATTTACGTGAAACCTTGTTTCAAATTTTCAATCTTTAGCTATAAAAGTTGAACATTTTATATATTTTTAACTACAAAATAATTATTCAATTTTAAATTTTATAATTTTGTCAAAATTCGAACTTTAATAAATGCTTTCAAAAAAATACTGTGACTATATATTTTTAATATTTTTCAACTGCTTTTGTATCAATATATCAGGAGCCTTGTATTAAATGTTTACGCTTTTTTACCCAACAATTACAATTTTATTTAAAAAAAAAAGAAAAACTAAAAAAATTGAAAACTCACAATGTCTGTAAACAGCTCAAAGAGAGTCAAAATATTTTCAAAATCGTATGGTGTACAAAAAATGAAAATATAAACATCCAGTGCAACGTTCATGTATTTACAGTTACGCGTTTTTGAATTACGACAAAATAACAAAATAAATTGCTGTACATAAGAAATCGAGCGAATATCCAAAATCATAAATTATCTCGATCAGAAATGAAGTACCTAATTATATTTTATTCGTTGAGACACGGTGTACACTATCAAACTTGAAATCAAGTTTTAACTACGCGTATGACAGATTAAAATAAAACTAATAATATGCTTCATATACTAATCGTTGTGGACTTGTTTGTTTAAAAAATATAAAAAATAAAACGTGTACCAAGTGAGTATAATTAACGTGACGATACATTTTAGGTACATAAAATCGTTTATGACATAGGCTGTGTATAGGATAGCAGGGTAACGTATTATCGTTATGAAAATATATCGTTCGATGTCGGTCTTGAGATATCGTCGTTTAAACTGCAACAGTGAGTATCTCAAAATTTGACAAAATGAGATTATTTTCAATATTAATAAAAAAATTGATTGACAATAATGAAGTATGAAACATAACGTATCTCATTTTCAACAAGTGATATTTTTGAGATAGGCGTTGTTGGCAATATGAATTACACGAGATAGGCTGTTTTACAATACCTGTTTTTTGTGTCCCCTGAAAAACTACAAAAACTGATAAACGCATTGTTGCAGTTTAAACGACGATGCGCGGCAGTACCTAATAATGGTTTGGAAAAATTTATAGAATATTTTCTTTTAAAACTGCTAATATTTATAATTGTAACGAGCTGTGACTACGTATACAGGGTGTCCAGTGAGGATATGCCCATTAGACGTAGAGAGGGACTCGCCGCCCGGACAAAAACCGGATTTTTTGCCGTTTTACCTATAAACTAAAACAATTATTAAAAATCAGGAAATTAATGAAATTAAAATGTTGAAACGTCAATTTTTCAGAAAAATGAACTCTACAAAATGGCAATCTTCAATATTTTTTCAAATAATTAATTAAAAAAATAATTTTTTTAACTTTTTTACCAAAACATAAAAAATAAAAATAAAAAATTAGTTATTTGTATTGTTTGCCTCTGTGAGTCTTAATAAGAAAACAGAATTATGATATCTCCATTATTTCAGGAGATATCGCAATGAGTACATCCTCACGGGACACCCTGTATATTAATAATAGTAATAATATATTATACTCAATAATAGACATAAATGCTGCAGGGAGCACGTAACCCCGGTAATAGTAATAATATCAGCATCCGGGCGGCCACATCGATAAGAGTACAGAACAACTAATTAATGGTACAGCGCGAACACGTGATAGGTATACGCGCGCAATATCCATATTATAAGAAAGACGAAAAAGACATAAAAAGTACAAATAGATGACTTTGGAAACATATTATAATCCGTAATTAACATTATTTCGTAGAGGACGCCAGAAATGACCTCAGGTGTACGCGGCGATGTACCATTTATTATACCAAAAATGCCATAGGAGGGAGCTATTAGGAATACCCTACGAGGTACGTCGATGGACAAGTGTCCATCAGACGAGCACCAACAGAGCAGCCACCAAGTCAAATACTAATAGTCACATCTCGTTTACCACAGTTTTATAAGTTAATTATTTTGGACTTGGTCTATTTTACGTTTTAAATAAATACAAATAAATATCATTATTACCATCGACTTGTTATTGTATTCAAAATACTACCAATACTGAGCTGAAGTAGTTGGCTCGTTACATAATATTGTAATAATGACCTATACAATTCTGATGTTATAGACTAAAATGTCATAGTATTTAAGATAGTTCTTTGTATTGTTCAAATATAAATAACTATACAATGTAGTTCTGTAGATACCTACCTACTAATCAATACTTTGAGCTTTGTTTAAACTCATAAAACAGTCCTCAAAAAAATAAAGTGATTTTATTATAATAAAACAAATAAATTAGATGAAAATATAGTTACCTATGTAAACAAAATTAATGCAACCATCCACCGTGGTCATGTTATATTCATGATATAATTGTTGACTTATAACAAGCTTAACGAGCTTTAACTGAGCATATTATTATAATATGCAAAGAAGCCTATTTGAAGGCCATGAAAATGTATACCCTCTATAAGACGCGTAAATATATATATTTTAATTTTTATCCAAGCTCAATTTTGTCAATTACGTTAATTTACATACTTCAATCCCATTTTTAAAAATTTGAAAATTTGTAGTAATACAACTAGATATTATAGTCACGTACAACTGTACAAGTACAACCTTTATAATATATTTTATGATAATGTTATAGTAATAATATTAAGAGGTCGATATACCCGCATGGAATGTCTCTCAATTTTAATTTTAATCATTCTAAGTAGTGTGTTGGGTCCATATTATAATATACGAAATCGGAAATTATATTATATTACTAAACATTTTAAAATGACTTAAAATCAATTTTAATTATTATTATATTACATTTTTACATTAATAAACAATAGTTATAAGAATATATATAATGTTCTGTTGAAAAGTCTGTGTTAGAATTATGTTCATAATATATGACAATATTATTAATTAAATAATAAATAATATAATAGGTGGGCAAAATGACGAGCTACATATTTTTTGTCACGTGAACCAGCTATTAATAAAGTATATTAACACCTATTATATAACAATAGAAAATAATCGTTAATCTGCACAAATCAATAATATTCTTAGACATTTTTTTATGAATTATAATATCTATGGCTATTTAATATTTCATAACGTAACAAAATTATAAATAAATGTTTAGCATTCAATTAAAAATTTTACTCAATTTAAATAAATCTGTATAAAATTATCTTGAAGTTCACACGTTAAATACGTTAAAAATGTAGTTATAAAAAAAAGTAAAGAATTATTTAACTATTAACATTTCAACTTAATTTTAATTTTTAACTCATTAATGTCTAGCCCAGTGGTTCTTAACCGGTGTTCCGTGGAACACAGGTGTTCCGTGGACTTCGTATTAGTGTTCCGCCAAAATTTTAAAATCAGTGAAAAAAAAAAATTCTAAATTCTTTCAAAATAGAATCATTTTAGGTTTTGTTGGTTTATTTTTGTACACAAAAACGTTATCGTTAACTTTCGAATAATATAATGTGTCAGTATACTATATAATATATTAATATACATTATTATTATTATATTATAGTATTATACGATAATCTCCACCATACTGCGATAACATACGTATAGATATTGACAATTTTATTTTCTGCACTAATAAAAGTTATAAAATACATTAGTATTAGTACGTTGCCCACGGTATCTTTTCTTACAGACGATATTTGGTGTGTTAAAATGGCATATTTAGCTGATATTTTTAATTATTTAAATAGCGTAAATGCTGGTATGCAAGGTAAAAACGAAAATATTCTTACATCCACGGATAAACTGTTAACATTTAAAAAAAATATATCTTTTTGGAGAACGCGTATAATTCAAAAAAATACGGTGGACATGTTTCCTTCAATTAAAAATAATAATGAAATAATTCCTATTATAACAGAACATTTAGCATTATTAGAAGAAAAAATCACGAAATACTTTCCTGAATTGAATATTGAAAAGTATGATTGGATACGAAATAACCCCATACCACTCCGCCCATCTAAACTTAAAATACTTATAACTCATAAACTACACGTCCTAAGTTCGATTTTTATGTATCAAAATACTTAGAAAAATATCCCGCTTTGGAATATGAAATTAAAACTCTATGCTGCTGTCATTCAAAAAAGTAAAAAAACTTAAAAAATGATAAGGATAAAAAATATTTAAAAATATAATTTTTTAATGAAAACGTTGTTTTTTTAACAACTTGAAACTATGTAAAAAAATATTTTCAAAAACATTGAATTATGAACATTAAGATAATGAGTCACCCTGTATATATATAGGTAATAAATACAGAAACTAGTGAGTTATTTACCTCCATGTGTTCCATTGAGGATGAACCGAAGACTGGAAAAGTCCCACCCAGCAACCTTGAGCTCGGAAAAAAGTGTCATTTTTCACTTTTAGTCTTAAAGGGCTGTGCTTTTGTGATGCCTTCCCTGTAATAGTACAAAACATATTTTGAAATTAAAAAATTTGAAATGTAGATATATGATTCGTAGGCAAATATGTAAGAACCTAATATAAAGACGAACAGTGCCACAGAAAAATCAAATAAATTTGAAATCATAACAAAACGTGAATTATTAATTCCACCCGTGCTAGTGTTCAGTCAGTAATAATCAGTAACATGAATTTATAAGGCCATAAATTAAATTTGAGATAACTTCTATGAAATACAAAACTGAATTTACCTGTACGATTCGGGTCGTTGTCCTGTTGACAAATCCTTGTACACCGATAAAGTGTAATTTTTTCCATTTTTATTAATCATCACGAATTGTGTGTCGTCGGTCGCATCTACGTAACTCTTCGTCATGGGGATAATCATGAATGGTTTTGATAATTTAGCATAATAATTTCGTCCTCCGTGTTGAACGGGTCCGACATTTTTTATCATAGAGTTATAATTACTAATCATTCCTTCAGCTGTACTATGCGTTTCGCATAACAATAGTTATTGAGTATGAATCCTAGTAGTATACTCTAAGGAATCGTCGAAAATTTGCATAAATCCTGACCGGTATTCATTGATATATGTTCCAAATCCATTAACTGTACCAGGTGGTACATCCTGTATCACCTGGTACAATTAAACAAGTATGGATTTGGAACATATATTAATGAGTACCGGTCAGGATTTAAGCAAATTTTTGACGATTCTGTGAAGTATACTATTGGGATTCATTCTCAATAACTATTGTTATTCGAAATGCATATTACCGCTAAAGGTATGATAAGTAACTATATCTCCCTGATAACAAATATTTTGGACAAGTTCCAAACGGAGGACAGAATTATTATGCTAAGTGGTCACGACCACCAATGATTACACCCATGATGAAGAGTTATGTAGATGCCACAAATGACATGCAAATCGTGATTGAACAAATTCATGAATGTTAATGATCAGCAACTAAATTTCGATGATAAAAACTTTTGTTGACTGCCGATCAGGATTTAAACGTACGTCATCTTTTATCTTTCTACCGAGACCTTTCCATATTAAATTTATTGTTATTGTCCAATTTCTTTAATTTTCATCCTCGATACTGTTAACGAGTTTTGGTAGTTTGATCCAATCGGTGGGAGTCCATTTTTCAAATTTATAATCGTATGTTCCATCTGATCATCGAAATAGCTCTTAATATATTATTTAGGGGAATTCTTAATTTTCAACGAATGTTTTAGAATCGTTGAATACTTCAAGCATTTGAATTGTATGCAGTTATGTTCCATTACAGTAAAGTTCACTGAAACAAAAATATATAAATATAATTAATGAAATTAAATTCAACTGTTTTTAATTAATCTACTACTATTCATTTTGTCAAAATAATATTCACTGTAACTAAATTTAAATGTCCTTTTTCAAACTATTATCTACTTTTTTTTTTTATAAGACATATTGTGTTATTTTTGAAGATAATCCTTAAAGTTTTAGTTTAAAGGTATCAAACATAAACTATAAATTTAAACTATAATTTTCTTCTCATAAATCATAAAGTTTCAAAATAAAACATTTTTTGTGTTTAATCACCTCAAATAGTAATATAAAGAGGAGTATTGTACGTCATATAGTACCTACAAAAACTTTCAAAAAGAAAAGTGTATGTAGTTTTAAAAAAAATTTATGGTCTGACCTAATACTGACTAAAAATTTGTATATATGTATTATATATTATTTAGGCATTATGAATAATATATTTATACACGTAAACGTACATTGTTAACATTTCTTAAATTTAATTTAACATTTCTAAATTAAATTGTACGCACTACAACAATGAACATAATAATACAATTTATTTTTAACATTGATTATGGAAATATGGAGTCGTATAGTCAGAGCTGAAATCCAGAATAAAATATACCATATAATACTGGGTGATTCTTTTATCAAACAACACTCATTATTTCAAAAAGTGTAAATTTTTTTGAAAATATTTTTTTACATAGTTTCAAGTCGCTTATAAAACAACGTTTTTAATTTTTATTAAAAAATTATATTTTTAAATATTTTTTATCCTTATAATTTTTTAAGTTTTTTACTTTTTTGAATAACATCATAGGGTTTTAATTTTATATTCCAAAGCATTTCGCGGGGTAACCCCGAACCACTCCACTCCGCTCGTCTAAACTTTAATTACTTATAACTCGTAAACTACTCGCCTCAAATTCGATTTTAATGTATCAAAATACTAAGAAAAATATTCTGCTTTGGAATATAAAATTAAAACCCTAAGATGTTATTCAAAAAAGTAAAAAACTTAAAAAATTATAAGGATAAAAAATATTTAAAAATATAATTTTTTAATAAAAACGTTGTTTTATAAGCGACTTGAAACTATGTAAAAAAATATTTTCAAAAAAATTTACACTTTTTGAAATAGTGAGTGTTGTTTGATAAAAGAATCACCCAGTATATATATGGTATTATTATTTATTGTTATTCTTAATAATTTACATTTTACTAGAATATGCACAAAACAGTTTTTATTACTATGAATACATTATAGTGGTTAGTGACTATATACTATTTTATAGTGTAGGTATTGTGTATTATACAAATATTACGATTATTATTTACAAGTGTTTAAGAATAATATGTAGTTATAATATTATTACGCAATATTATGCCCGGGTTAGGTTGAGTGATATTTTAAGAACAGTTAGTTGTCGATAATATTGTATTTTTATTTGTGTTGATTGCTTATACAACCGTCCACGAATTAGGATATATTATTATCTTAATTCGTGCTACCATCTCAGCACTCAAGTCAATTATCAACATAGTAGTCTTGAAAATCGATCATTATTACTAAATATTAGCTGCACGTTAAAGTTAAAATTAGGATTATAAATTTATTGTACTTTAAAGACTCCCGTAGTCCCGTCAATCGTCATATTTATAGGTAGATACTCCTATTTCAGCATTTAGTCATTTTATATTAGTCAGTGAGAGGAAGAATTTCTACGACAGTTCTACGGTGAATTCCTAATTAATTCCTTATTAATAATAATTACACAAAATTAAAGCCATAATTAACCCCTTGGCCCTTATTACTTCTACTAACTACAGTTGTCAATCACTTACTCCCATCTTCTTTTCCTATACCTCCTCCTTAAAATTACTGTAACACTTATATTTATATATTATGCTATATCATGTATAAAAAAAAAAAAATAATATTAATAATTGTCGAGCTATTATAGTTGTAATAACTGAAAGCTAATAAAAATAAAAATAAAACAATTACACAAAATTAAATTAATTTACTTAATTGTAGTTCATAATAATATATTAATATAAGCGTTAAGTTGTAAGCGTTCTCGACAATTCCATCCATTCAACCACAATAATGGTAATACAATACTTATGGTGTACAAGTTTGCATGTTATTATTCTATGATGTGCTCACGGGATATTATATACAACACACCGTGACTCCGAGGAATTATTGATATAGCATTGGAAGTAATTTTTTTTTATAAATTACTCGTTAACAATAAATTTTAATCATTGAGCTTAAATGCACTGAATGCTAATATAGGTACACGTTCAAATTATTTTGTAGTTATAAATGTATACAATTTTAATTTGTGTAGGTAGGGCATTAATAGATTGCATACGGAATTCCTCATAGATATATTATAGTTATTTCTGAAACCTAAAAATCTAACCAAAAATAACATAAAGATTCTTTTTTTTAGACGTTAAATTTCAAATGTTCAAAAAACTGGATTTTCAAATGAAGAATAATCGTGGGTCTAGAATGAAAAGTTTTAAATCGACATTTATGAAAATAGTAACTTTTGAACTAAAGTGTTTTTAGAATGCAAATGCACATCATTTGAGCTAAAATTTTTGATTATACGATTGTTATTGACGATTTTTTAAAGGTAAAAGGTTCTAAATGACCGAAAATTAAATTATAAACACAATTTAATAAAATTGAAAACGCTCGGTTTAATGGAACCAAATTATTAACAAACATTAGTACGAAAAAGTTCTAATTAAATTAATCACTTCTAATAATACCTAATAATTGTTACATATTTATCCACATTCAATAGAATTTTACGATTGAGATACAAATTTCGATGTTTGATAAATCATAATTATGACATTGTTTCGTGTTTTAAAAGATTGATAGCAATGAAAAAGCATTAAGTATTCATTTTATATTTTATTGATAACCGTTCATTTCATAAGTTATTAATAGGTATTAAAGTATTTTAAAATTAAAATAATATGCATTTTTATTAATATTTATCTGCAGTATTTTTAAATACCTACAGTTTTTGTAAAAGTGTTTTTTACAAAATGAAAATGATAACACGCGAGTCTTTGACCTAGCCAATTTTAATTCTGCACAAATCTTAAGGTCGACTGACATCAACTTCTAGAACTCATTATAGAGGCTTGTTTTATAATGTAAGTTTCTGACTTAGATATATAATATAGTTACCTAAGTAAAATTTTGTACAATTTACACATATTGTTTATTAGGTACTATATTTCTCTGACCGACTTTATGGGAACACCTTAAATAAAATACAATATCATAGAAAACGCACGTCATAAAGATGTATTAATTGCTGTGATATAATTTTAATTGTTATACTATAGAATATAAATATGTTCACATGAACGTCAATTAGATATTTATGTTAAACGTTTTTGTAAGGATTGTAGCGAGCTGTGGACTATCGGACTATCTCACTGTCACAACATTTATTTTTTTTTTTAACTTGATTTATTTGTGTGTATCGTTATAATTACCATTTACTTACAAATATATATTCAACAAAACTAGGTAGATAATATCTTTTTATTTAACATGTATTGTCAATGTATTCCTGACTTCGGAAATCGAAAAAAACCCACTATACAGACTTGAGACAGACGACGACCGCGACGGTACGCATCTATAGGTATTATTGATATTAGGTTTGATTTGTAGCTAGGTGGTGTAATCCAAGGCTGTAGATGAATAATATTTCTGAAGTTACTGTAGATTATTATTGTAAATAGATAGTTTAGGCTTTTTTTTTAAATGTTATAAATATTTCACCGTGGAGGGGAAGGGCTTAAATAATACGGCTTTGGGTGTATAGGTAGGGCTTTTTTCTGTTCGCTAATAAGGTAGCGCCGATCATTAGCTAAGCTGCCCCTGCCGATGAAGTCTAGTCACGCCTATGGACAGTCTTGTAAAGTATTCTAATAAATGTATTTGAATAAAAGCATTTGAATACTT